TAGCTATCAGGTCCTCATTGCCATGAAATCATAGGATTTTAGATTTAGGGCTAGAAGGGACCCGAGAGGTCATTTAAGGCAACCTATTCATTTTACAGATAAAGAAACTGAGCTATTGAGAAGTAAAATGACTTGCTCAAGATAACATAGGAAATAAAAAAGTGGAGTGGAATTGGAACCCAGGTCCTCTGATTCAAAATCCAGTATTGCCTCAACTCCTTAGAAAAAGGAAAACCACACACACACACACACAATGATTTTAACAATGTAAATGGAAAGAATTTTTTAAATTAAGTAGAATCTTGTGTAATTAAAATGACCAAGCTGGGGCCAGAAGAAAAGATGAGAAAAGAACCTCAGTCCCTTGTTTTTTGGAGAGGTGGGGGACTATGGATTCGGAACATTGTATACACTGTCAGACTTGGTTAATGTGTTGATTTGTTTTGCTGAGTTTTTTTTCTCTTTCTCGAGGTAAAATGGCTCTCAAAGTGAGAGAGAGGGAAAAGATATATTGGAAATGGAGAATATATCAAAACAAAAGATTTCAATAACATTTTAAAAGTTTTTATTTAACCTCTTAACCTTTATTTAACCACTTAAAGAGATTCTCTGAGTCTCTTTCTTCATCTATAAAATGAGACTTAAGTTGGATTAGGTGATCTCTAAGTTCCCTCCTAGTTTTAAATCCTAATATGATACTTAAATTCCATACATCAAATAAGGAATGAACTTGGAGTAAAAGACATGTGCGTCAAACCTGGAACACCAGCTTTTTGAGAAGCCCTACCCTCTTCCTTAGAACCTAAAGGCTTAGGACAGATTAAGGTAGTCCTTAGTAATTTACGAAATCTTTCTCTGAGAGAAACTTTTTACTTTTGGTAGAAAACAACAAAAAATATATATATATATAGCTTCAAGAAGGATGGAGAGAAATTCAGGGATGATAAATGGACAAGATTTTATTATTAGGAAGATGTAGAGATGTTTGGGCCATGTTTCTGAGATCTATGTTACGAAAAACAACTTCCATGCTCTCTCATAGACCTTTCCTTGGTGTTCCTGCCAGAGACCAAATGTTACCCTGGGTGGACAATTGAGCTAATTTAGTCTGGGCTGTGAGAAAGACAGGAACCAGTAAAGTCCACAGAAGTCAGGAGACCTTGATTCTAGTTCCAGCTCTGCCACTGACTCACTATGTGATATGACAAATTACTTCCTTTCTCTGGACCTCAGTTTCCCCATTTGTAAAATATGGAGGGCAAACTGATATGTAGAGGACCTTCCAAGTCTACCATTCCATGATTCCATGACTTTAGGTCAATTTGAAGAAAGCTGATGAGAAGTCACCATTTCCCAGTTCTGTTTCCTCCTTAGCCCACTCCTTCAGCTGGGACTTAGCTAAAGAAGGAGGCTTCATTTATTTATTCATTCATTCAACAAATTTATTGAATACCTTCTTTGAGCTAAACTGGCTAGGAGTTGTAAAGAATTAAAAAAAAAAGAACAAGACAGTACTTACCCATAAGAATTTTATAATCCATCAGAGCAGAAAGCCCTTTTTGCACAATTGATTCTAGAAACATACAATGTTCATTGTATGAAACATACAATGTTCATGTTATTGGGACCATGTATTCCACAAAAGGAAGTGTGGAATAATGAATAGAGCATTGGACTCAAAGACAAGAATCCTACTTCTGGTACTTTCTAAGCTGTATGACTTTGAGCAAGTCACTTAAACTCTTTGAACTTCAGTTATTCGTAGAATGGTGATAATAATGCCCGTAATAAGTACCTCCCAGGGTTACTGAAAGGCTCAAATGTAATAACATTTGTATGTCAATATGATTATGGGAACAATGTTCTAATAATAGCTGATGTTTACATAACCCTTTAAAGTTTGCAGCTCTATTGTCTTTTTAGTTTCACAACAACCTCCTAAATGATGAGCAATCTGTGGAATTAAAGTATGATTTGCTTATAATGTATTAATTAGGTTGGGTCAAATTTATGCAGTGTGTTCCTTTACTGTATACAAATAACTAAAATACTAGGCAACATTCCCTAAGTGCTAGAAAGGCAATAGGAGCAAACTTCTTTGAGGGTTCTGGACTGAGATAGGATCCCTTATGGTTGAGATGGTTAGCCCGATGTGGGAGAAAATAGTCAGTGGGGAAGAAAGGGCACCAGCAAAAGAACAGGTGTGGTAAAGTGCAAGATGAATATGGAGGCTACCGAGTAATCCAGTCCGTCTAGAGTGCCTAAGTAGTGTGGGGGAGCAGAGAGATGTTAGTGTGAAAACAGATTATAGCTATACCAAGGCTACGGAGAGCTTGGGCTTCACTTAATTAGCAATGGGGAGCAATGGAAGGCTTCTCATCTGAACTATACCTGGGGGCACAAAGGGGCTGCTTGACGGCTGCATCACCACCAGTTCCATGATGCTCTGTAGACGTGTCTGGGACTCCCCAGCTTACCGGAACCCGCAACAAAGGAAAAGGACTGGGGCGGGGGGGGGGGGGGGGGGGGGGGGTGTTAGAAGCGGGGGGTGGGCATGAGAGACTAAGTCTGGGAGGGAACGGTTCGAGTCAGGGGGCGCAGCATCCAGCTCGATTCCTCCGCCAAGCTCCAGTTGCAGCCTGAGAGGAAGCTTTTCCCCTCCCAGGTATGACTGGAAAGGGTGCGTGGGTGAGACCACGCAACGTGAGGCTTTTTGAACGTGGAGGTGGGGGCGGGGATCCCACGGGGAAGCAGCTTCTATTTTGAAGAATCGGAAAACTAAAGCAAAACTAAAAGTGATCATGGTCTGCCGGCTCTCGCGCCGCACTGGGAAATGGATGAGACAAGTGCTTGGACCGTAGGACAGCCTCAGTCCCAAGCCCTTCCTTCGCTCTCCTCCCCCATCCCCCATGAATTTGGGTCTGGGTGGGAAATCAGTTTCTGCCGCTGTTACCCGAGGCTAGGCTAGGCGCTGGTGGCAGGAGGGGAAGGAGGGCAGGGAGGTGAGTGGAAAAATCGCGATTGTTTTTTCTCCGCTACCCCCCGCCCTGAGCTTTCGGGGTTTGCTGCCGGTGAAGGATCTGATCCGTTTTGCGTCAAAGATCTGCATTTACTCATCCTTCTGGGAAAGTTACATAAATAAATAAGCCGGGGAGGCCAAAAAGCCAAACCAAACACAAGCAAGAAACAAAACACAAGCAAACCCCTAAACCTTTGTTTCCACTGCCGCTGACATCTCTCCTCCTCCCCCTGCAAGCTCGGAGACCTGGCTTGCCTCCTTCCAAGCGTGCTCTAGCCTGGGTAGGAGGAGACGAGAAGCACTGTCTCAGAGCTGGCTGGGTCAGGGGCAGAGGCACGGCCCAGGCCCGCCCCAAGCTGGCCTGGGTTGGGACTAAATGTGCGTTAGAAATGTAAACAACAGCCGTGAGGGAGCACTGGGCCGCATTCCTAGGTTTCAGCGGCTGGGGAAAGGCTTAAATGCTGCCGACCTGGCGTCCAAGAGATTGCTCCGGACAGAGTCCAAAGGCCCGAGCTCTATGAAGACACTTTCCCTTCCCCTCCCCTCCCCTCTCCTCCCCCCCATCACACACCTTGCACAAATAAAGAAATCTTGTCACGAAAAGACAACCATAAATTAAGGAATCATTTAAAGAGCGCCTTAGGTGCCAGGCACCGAGCTGAGCCCTTTACAAATATCTCATTTGATTAGGGACTGAAAGGGACCTTAAATTGGGAAACGGAGACTCAGAAAAGTGAAGTGACATGTCCAAGGCCACACAGCCAATCATCGGCAGATCTGGGATTCGAATGACTACAGATGCGACTACAAATGTTCGCATTCCACCGAACCACAGATTTTCAGGCCCAGGGAATCAGGGAGCATTTTGGCCCAAAAGCCCAGGCTCCCAATGTCTTGCTGTTTGGAGAAAAGAGCCGAGGACATGACCTAGTCTACACCCTTCCTTTTACTCTCACACCCTCTCCCTCTCGCCTCCCCCCCATCAATTATAGTTTGGGATTTGCTTATGACGTATTATTAGCACGTATCAGATGCGTTGTAATTGTACTGCATTGAAGCAACAGGGATGTCATTAGAATCATTCATTCCATCTTTGAGGATTCTAGGAAGCAGTCAATCCAGCTGCAAGCAGCTGGCATCACTAAACCCGGCACCCAGGTTCTACTGCGTTCCGCCGGGGCCAAGAACAGCACACTGGGAGCGCCCGAGTGAACCAGTCGCCGGCCCCACCCAGGGCTGCAAAATGTTTTGGTCTTTGGACCTCCACCTCTCAGTGGCCCTGAACACAGCAGGCAGCCAGGCACCAGACAGATCTTTCGGCCGCGCCTCACAACGTTCCCTAAGTGTCCTTTGTCACTGTAATTAAAACAAGAAAAGAAAAGAAAGGCTAAGCCGAAACCTGGTCCGACGAGGCCCCTCTCTGTGTTCTCCCGCCCCAGTTCCCCTTTAAGTGGAGTTCTGAAGCCTTTGGTAAGCTAGGGAGCGAGGGAATCCCTCTCCCACCACGTCACCCTAACCAAGGAAACCCGCACTCACGTCCTGCAACGCAAATGACCATCTTTGGCAAAGTGCGCCAATGGAACAGACCAAAGCAAGTACGGGGGGAAGGGGTGGGGGTGGGGGAAGAAGTGCCAGAAATCCACTCCGGTGCGTTCCACTCCAGGGGGGAGGAAAGACAAGCTCGAGCTCCGGGCCTGCCACCTCCCCCTTATAACCCCCTTCCTCAGTCTCTATGCCCCCCGCCACCTCCTTCCTTCTTTCCTCACTCCAGAGTGTCCGACTGGTGTCAAGTGCCCTTTAGCTGAGGAGGGGATAGAAAGAAAAAAGTCTCTTCTTCCCCTCTCTCTTCCTCCCTCCCCTTTCCTCTCCTCCTCCTCCTCCCTTTCTTTCCTCCCCTCCCCTCCTCTCACCCGCCCGCTCCTCCCTGCAAGGTGGGGTTTGGTGAGCTGGGGGTTGACGTGAGTGAAAGATCCACATGGTACAAGGGGCTGGATAATAAAGAGTGTGGAGTTGAACTAATGCCATTGCACTGACTCATCCCAGGCAAGCAGAGCTCTGGGGCTCGGAGCGCACCATCGGGAGAGAGCTAGGGAGAGAGAGAGAGAGAGAGAGAGAGAGACAGACAGACAGACAGACAGACAGACAGACAGACAGACCGAGACCCAGACCCACTGAGACAGGGACTTGGGCGAGGCAGGGAGGGGGAGCTGCAGTTGCAACCAGGAAAGAGAAAGACAGGAAAGGAAAGAGGGAGAGAGAAAAAAAAGAGCCCCACCGCCACCTCTCGCGTGCCGGGGGAGAGGGCAGAGAAGCCAGTGTCAGGATCCCTAATTAAAGGAGAGCGCAGCTCTGCTCTAAAAGGCAAGAGAGCTCCGCTCGCTCTTGGCCTTGACACTAAGCAGCCAGGAGGACTTGGGTAGGAGCGACTGAGCTTTGCTTGGTGTCCATTCAAAAGAAAAAGATTTCCCTTCCCTTTGGGTGGTGTTCGAGGGGAGCCTTCGGACGAGTGGGGAAGGTTTCTTTTTTTTCTTTGTTTTTGTTATTGTTTTTTTCAAAGCATTTTTTCAGATTATTATAATTTTGTCAAGTGTCAGAGCCTCTGAAACTCGGGCGGCTATTCGATCCACAGGAAGTTTATTCTCAGCCTTTTTTTTTTTTTTTTAAGAGGAGGAAATAGCCGCAGAAGTTTCTCAAAGCGAGCTTTCTTGGCTGAATGTCCACGGCTCCCACTGACAGGGCTCGCTAGTTTGGTTTCCAGGTTTATTTTTTCTCTTTACTCCCCCTGCCCCATTTTTCTTTGCGGACATCGATTCCGTTCCCCTTCCCCAAGGATCCAGATTCCCCCCGCCCCCAACAGCCCGCTCTCCGGTTGAGAGGGGAAGGGCGAGTGGGAGGGCCCGAAGGGAGGGTCGGACTTTGGGGAGAGAGAGAAAGGGCCAGGCGTCCAGCTGGTGCCCGGCAGAAGTTCTGAGCGCGCCACTCCTGGGCTCATCGCAGTCGACTTCAGGCTTCTTGCCTCTTCGTCCCCCCCCCCGGGAGCTTTTGGAAGCACTCGGCCTGGGGGAGGGGGGTGGGAAGGGTTTAAAAATACTGAGACTACCCAGAGAGGAGATCGTCGGGGGCGAGAACGCTCCAGCAAGTGCGAGGCGGGGAGGAGGAGAAGGAGGAGGAGGAAGAGGAGGGTGGGGGAAAACAAACACTCTGTTTCCTCTCGGGCTCCCACCGCGGATCATGTACCAGGATTATCCCGGGAACTTTGACACCTCGTCCCGGGGCAGCAGCGGCTCTCCAGCGCACGCCGAGTCTTATTCCAGCGGCGGCGGCGGCGGCCAGCAGGTAAGCAGGAGAGCTCGCTGGCTTCCTGGATGCACCTGGCGGGGAGCGAGCCCTTCCTTTTCCTCTTTTCCTCCCCACCTCTCCCAGATAGCCTTTTTACTGCCTTTCTTTATTCTCTTTTGTCTTTGGGCCAAGAACCCCAACCCAATGCGTTTCTCGGGGTCTCGTTTCTTTGAACCTCTCCCACCCTCTTGCCTTTTTTTTCCCCCTGGGGAAAAAGGGGAACATGTAGATGTGAAGCTCTGACAATGACTTCCCACCTACTCCATCACTCCAACTCTTTCCCTAGATGGAATTATATGTTACTCCAAGACCCCATCCCTTTACATAAAATAACGTTATCCCAAGGCTAGCCTTCTGGCTTCTTGGTGTTTTCCCCTCTCCTCATCTCAGAATCCCCACAGATGGACAGAAGAACGCCTGGAAAACATCTGCCTTCCCCAGAAGCCATAGCTCGATACCCGCGGGGATACCCCTCCCTCCCTTCAGCCATGTTTGTAGAGAGACCCCCTTGATGGAAGAGGTTGGGTTCAAGGGGATATTCTTGGGACTACTTCTGGTTGAGGAGCAGCATACTACAGAGGAAAGAGTGAGGAATTGGGAGCTGGGTTCTAATCCCAGGTTGCCACTTTGTGCCTTTGTGACACGGGGCAGGTAATTTTACCACCCCGTGTCTTGGTTTCTTCAGATGTAAAATGAAGAGGTGGGACTAGATGGAAGGCTCCTTCTAGCTTTAGATCGAGGATCTATTCAGTTATGTGCCTGCCTGGGTGAGTGAGGGTAAGTGATTAGAGGTCCAGAGCATGGCAGGAGTGAAAGGCTCCTCATCAAAGAGTCTGACCCATGATGAACTAACTAGCCTTTCCCTAAGGCAGTCTGCACCAAAGGGATTTAGCCCAAGTCATGCCCACCTTGGGAAGGGTCCACCCTAACCTTCAGTTTCTCTCACTTCTCACCTCCTCTGTAGAGTTTTCTCCATTCCAGAAAAGGCCTGGCAGTGGACCTTTTTGTGGGCCACAAAGCTTTATTGAAGGGAGAATGGAGAGAAAAGTAGGGGAAAAGGGCTGCTGTAGCAGAGCCCTCTCAGGCTTTTTGTGTGGTACTTGGAGCTGAAAAAGCAAGTGGGTATATTTTTAAAGTAGCTCAACTGGTTTGAAGTCAGAACAATTGCGTATATGGAGCTGTGCTTGCCTATAAAAACCAGAAAGATAGTGGTGGTGAGGGGCCATCATCTTCACACAGACCTTTACATGTATGGGCTTGTCTCATGCATTTCATTAACTCATGAGACCCACCGAAATCAGAGTAGCCTCTATTTTCCTAGTTTTACAGATCTTCCTGAAGAGTTGTAGGGTACAGACTAGAGGTTACCATCCAAACCAGTGTTCTGATTTCAGATATATATGGAAGGGGTTGTGGGAAGAACCCCAGAAAGAGAGTTAGGAGAACTCTGTCTTGGACTTTGAGGGGTAAAAGTGGAAACATAATGATTTTTTTGTACCTATGAAAGGATACTTTATTCCAAAGAGATATGCAGAACTGGTGACATTCCACCCTTTAGTAGACCCATCTATGGTCTCTATTTCTACTTTCCCTCCTCTTCAAAACAACAACAGCCAAATACCACACACACACACACACACACACACACACACACCTACACACCCCTACACACCCCTTCCCTAGATTGTACAATACAGTGTTCTGAATACTGTGAACCCTCAATTGTTTTACTTTAGTCCAATAAAATTAAACTAAAATCTCCCCTGAAAGAGCTACATAGGTTTGTACCCTTGTCAAAAAGGTCCCATTGATTTCATGCCCATTTCTACCACTGGACTGGAATCATTTGCCCTCTCTACTTTCCTTCTCCTTCCTTCCAATCTCAACTTCCCCCAGCTCTAGAGCAGACCTCCTTGGAATCCTACCCATTTGGTTTTTCCTAATTTCTTCCCTATCTGCTTTTGCTGTTGTTTAAGTAGGGACAATCATCTTTGGTGTTGCAGTCACTTTGCTAAACCTATTTCTGACCTAGTTGGGATGGAATGAGAAGTTAGGTCAGTCAAAGAATCATTCCCAGCTGGGTAATGTGTGTCGATGAGGCCTGGGAACCCATGATATAAATTGAAGCAATGCCTTGCTGTGGATCAAAATCCAACAGGGAAACAGCAATAGGAAGGAGGAAGAGAAATGGCTCCAGCCGAGCATAATGGAGACTCATTAGCTAAACAGCAAGCAAGTGTTGGCTAATTCCTAGCATGCTGTAACACATGAAGGTTTTGCAATTGATAATAACCTGGTACAGTGCTTCTCTCATATGGCCTGCCAGTTCTGCTCAGCCATCCGAAGTCTGAGGCGCCTTTCAAACCAGAGAGATTTTCAAGGTAATGCGGGCATTAGACAAGTTCTGGAGCCACCCTGTCCTTTTATAGTTCTGGAGGATTTTTTTTTTTTTTGGTCTGGTCACTAGGGTTTTTTCCATCATGGTTGCAGCTTCTGTGCAAAACTGTATTGAAGGTAGGGAGTGGTTGCTGGGCTGGCCTTAGTTACTTCACAAGTAGGTGCTAGGGCCCTTTCAGAGACACAGGCTGGCAGGGCTCATGGTAAATGACTGTAGGCCAAAGAACCCGCCATCACTTTATTTCCCCTAGTTTCCTTTAGTCTGGGACATGAATGGTGGGAAGAGGATGGACAGCTGCCCCTTTTCTGGCAGTCTCAACAGACTGGGTCAACTGAGTTGGATGGTTCCTTTCCAAGTAAGTCTCCCCCCAGCAACATCTTCCTAGCTTCTTGCTTCTCGGGGTTCAAACCTTCCTAGGAGCACAAACATGTTGTCCTAACACAAATAGCAATCCTTTTCCTCCCATTTCCTTCAAAGGGCTTGGGCTCAAGACTTAGCACAGGACCATGCGGGACAGTGACATTTTTTCCAGAGAACTTTTTTTTTTAAGCTTCTAGTCTTGAATGTGACTGGAATTTGAAGCACGAAAAATATTTCCTGCTCCAGTCCATGGTTTTATTCCCCAAGATTGCTTGTCTGTGATTTTTTATCTCTCCTCCCTCTCTACCCCCCACCATTTTCTTTATATATATTTTAGGGGATTTTTTTTTCTTCTTCTTCTTCCTCCCTTTCCTAGGAAAACACCTCCCAGATCTGTATGCCTTCTCTGCCTCTCTTCTCAACACTTACGGTCTCTGGGAGGGAGCATTACGCAATCTAGCCAGTTACACAAACATAGGTTATTTCATAACTTGTTTTCATCAGCTGGGCCCCCTCTTTATTAAAACACACACACACACACACACACACACACACACACATAAAACACAACAAAAACAAAAGCCAGAACTTTTCCAAGGCTCACCATTTCTCAGATAACTTGGGATAATAAATCAAGGGCGCTAGAATCCTGTTTTCCTATCAAGGAATACTAGACTCAATCTCCTTTCCTCACAAACTCACCCTTCTCCTCCTCCCCCTCAGTCCCCTCACCCCATGCATGCATGCACACACACAATATTTCCCTGGGAGTGAACTTTACCAACAGTACCAGGCTGGGACATTCCTAAGTTCAAACAACTTTACCAGAAATGACTGAGATTCCCAAGGCATCTTCAGCCATACTTCTTGAGTGCCCCCTAGGGGGCACTCTTAAGAACGTCCCTGGAAATGTCTTCCTTGGAATCCCAAACTTTAACTTGACTTTCAGACAGAGCTCCTGTGCTCTAGTTTTCAGAGGGAGATAAATACCAGTATGTTTAGTCTGTCCTTAATTGGGAAACTGTTTTCTATTTGAACTGTATCTCCCAACGAAAAATGTATTCATTAGGTTGAATGCACCTGGCTGAAACATATTTTTCTCATTTGGGTCACCAAAATGTGTATGGATACTATCACTCATTTTCCACTGTTACTGTCCTAATGACATTGAAATAGGGACACAATTGTTTTTCCCCTGAATTTGGTGGTGGTGGTAGTGAAGGCACATTGTTTGTGCCTTGATCGGAAAAATGTTATAAATCAGGATCGGATAACATTGTTGAAGGAATTTGGTCTGTTCTGTTGAGTCTTGGTGGAAGTCAGCTTCGCTTTATCATCAAAATGAATGGGTGTTTTTTTTCTCCTCTTCTCAGAAGATAAATGTAGTTGTCTAGAGTTGGGTAAATGAGGGCTTTAGTCCTCCAAACTGAAATCTTAATTAATTTTCATTATTTGACTCCCTTCCTGTTGAGCACCATCTTGCTGGCATGAAAGGCATGTTTATAAAGAAGGAGATTGCTTCTCTAAGTAGTAAATCAGAACTTTGACTTCCTGATGTGGTTTTCAGAGCAGCTCTCTGGGGAGGCCATCCCCTTAATCCACTGATGCCACCTTGTTTCATGATCTCTATGGAGGAAAGGGGGTGGCAGAGAAGGGAAGCAGCAGTTAAGTCCTTAGTCTTTGAGGGTGGATTTCATCTTTGAACATGGTCTCAGACCTTTGGAAACTGGTGAAGAAGGAGTGTGTTCAACATATGGCAGGTAATCTCTGGTCAAAAAATGAATTATGGCTAGAAAAGTGGTAGACCTGAGCAGGGGCAACATTGTGGAGCTAAGTGTATGACCTCCTAAGGTTATTGCTTTGGGACATAGTCTGTTATAGTGGAAAGGGCTCTAGGTCTGGGGTCAGAAGGACTTGGGTTCAAATCCCAGCTTCATCACATAATACTTATGTGCCCCTGGGCAAGTCATTTAATCTCTTTGGGCCTCAGTTTCCTGGTCTGTTAAAAATGTGGGGGTTGGACTAGTTGACCTCTAAGGTCCTGTTCAACTCTAAGTCAGCCATCCTACTTTAAAAGGAAGTGCTTATTTGCATGTGTACATGCTAATTCTAGTGGAACATTAGCTCCTGAAGGGCAGGTACTGTATGTTATTTATCTCTGTTTTATTCCTTACCCCCACCCCCCAGCATCAGCCTTGGATATAGATGGCACCTAACAAATGCTTGTCATTGAAATGCC